TAGATAGATAGATAGATAGATAGATAGATAGATAGATAGATAGATAGGAAGTTATTGATTGTGTATGTCATCTCATAGAAAGTCAGTCACTAGGTAAAAAGAGTTAGCGACTGGCTGTCTAAAGTGTTTACTTCCACAATCTGATGCTGTGAGTCCATTCCTCAGGTCACCTGCCAGTTATTGGCCCGCTTCCCACAGCATGAGGTGATGAGCAAGTGAGCCTGCGTGTGAACCCTATCTCTTTCATGGACAAACCAAAGTTAATGTTCTGTGCATGGTCTCCAAATGTGCAGAGATACAGCACGGAGCAGCTTTATGGCCTATTGAATTGTCATTATTTTTGGATAAGCTGATATGATTTGAGCGAGAGCAGCAGCTCGTGTATTTGGATGCTCGAGTCCATACTTGCCAGAACTGTTTTGGGCATATGGCCTTGAAGGAGTTGTATCACTGGGGTTGGCTTCACAATTTTAAAAACCCACACCATGCCCAGCTTTCTTTCTCTTGCCTCCAATTTCTTATAAGATATAAGCTGCCAGTGGCTGCTTCAGGCGCCATGCCTGCCTGGATATCTCTCACCATACTCCTCTCTATGACGGAGACTAACTCCCTGAAACTGTAAGCAAGCCCCTACTTAAGTGCTTCCTTTTCTAAGTTGCCTTGGTCAAGGAGTCTCATTACAGCAGTTGAGATAGACGCTGCTTAAGATGTTTGCCTTCCTCTTCTAAGTGAGTTCCAGGGCAATGATTTGAGCAAAATTTGAGTTGCACTTGCTTTGGGCCTACCTCCCTGAAACTGAGTCATGACTGGAAGAATATTTGTCACTAAAATTAGGAAGTCTTACTAAAAGACTTTTAAAAAAGCTTTTCTATGATGTCAGGCAACATTTAGAAGCAGATAGCATCAACTATTGCTTCCTCTAATACAGCCTCACATTGAAAACAAAACATTAGCTTGGGCATTCTCCTGTTGCTGATGGTTTACCATCACACTAAGAATGAAATCCATAGCTCATATCATGCCCCTCAAACACCCTAACTCCTTTTCACTGAGGTCTATCTTCTCTGCTTCAGCCATTTTTCTCTTTACTTTGCTGGCTCTGTCACATGTCATTCATCAAGATGGCATCTGGTAATAGTACTCTAAGATATTAGAGGAAGAAAATGGCTGCCTCCTTTTGAGAGACCAAATAATTTGGGGTATTTTTAAAAATTTTAAAGCACAAACCTGAATGAAGGCTAGCCTGAATGAAGGTGGAGACATGTCCAGGCGCCTGGGGGTGGGAGGCAAAAGCCAGACTTACTGCATCCTTTTCCTGCCCATTAGTTATACATATGGGCTAGGAAACTGGCCCATATGGCCAAGCCAGAACTTTCTGTGGTCTTGGCACCTAAAATGGACCAATCATTTCCAAAGTCAATCTCCCTTACCCAATCATGTAACGCCAAAGCATGTAAGTCCCTGCTTGCATTTCCCCCCACTTTAAAAACCTTGTTCTCCTCGACTGTGGGGCCACATTCCTCTCCTGTTTCCGCAGGAAGTTTGTGTTCTGAGTTTGAACATGTATATAATAATTAAAAAAAAAACCCTCAAGTATTTACAGCGGAGTCTATTCCTGGTCTTTTGGGGTCTCACGAACTGGGCACAACACTTTAAAGCTGGTCTGTCCTGCAGGAGTTACTGTCATACCAAATTCCCTCACTGGACTAAAGGCTTGTGAGAACCATGTATTTGTTCTGTGGTTAGAACTGACAGCCTGTTCTCACCAGGCATTACTGATCTATCTTGTGGTCTTGACTTTGGCTTCTCGTTCTTCAAGAGGGTCAGGGGTGGGATTGTGGGCTATTGTTTACTTTTCTCTGCAGAGTTTATGTCCCCATGCATTTCATCTCCATGTGACCTCTCTTGTCATTCCCGATGTTTTTTCCTCTGTATCTTAGCTATAAAGTATGTGCTTTGCTATTCAAATACTTTTCCTTCAGAGTCTTGTAGAGGAAGTTTTTAAACTGCCATCTTTGACCGGAAATCGTACAGCCCATGAATTTTACCTTAGATCTTGGGAACAGATATAAGAGAAGAAATGGTAGTAGACACATTTTCTATTAATTAGCTGTCATTTTTTGTTTCATCTCCTCCTATATGAAGAGTACTTAAAGTGGATAGGTTTTATTTTTAGGTAGAAATATGTCTACATTGACATGATGTAATACTATGGTAGCTGATGAATTCCATGAGTTTTCTGTGTTACAACATTTTTTTCCTTCATCCTTTCAGAGATAAGCCTCGGTGCTCTGTTGAAGGAAGATGAAGTATGCTGCTTGGTTTTTCCAGCTCCTTCCTTCTCCTTTCCCTTACTACTTTGTGTCCAGAGTGACTGAAACAGACTGCCATTTCTCATACACACTCTCTGGATTTTGCTTGCACTTGGTTTATGGAGTAGGTTAGCAGGAGGCTGAAGAATGAGAATAGGTCAAATCATTGAGCCCCTGAAGCTCCCCTGCTGGGTTACTGTTCACATAGGCAGTGCATTTCTCTGAAAAGCCAAAGCTCCCTCAGCCATACTTTCCATCGCTCTATTTTGCTGTTGTTCTGGTATCTGCTCTTAACCTGTCCCCAGTGAGCTTTCAGCTACTGTGAGCTCCACAGAACTGCAAATTTTTTAAATTGCTTTTCTATTGCTTCTCTTTAACTCTTTCCACAACTTAAAAACAAACAAAAGAAACAAAACAGCCTTTTTTTTTTTTTTTTCCCCGAGACAGGGTCTCTCTGTGTATCCTTGGACTCACTTTGTAGACCAGGCTGGCCTCCAGCTCTCAGAGATCTGCCTACCTCTGCATCCCTGAGTGCTGTGATTACATGCATTAGCCACCTTGCCTGGCTCAAAACAGTCTTTTAAAACTCTTCTTCATCAACTGATTTGACTGTGTCATGCCTTTCATTGCGTCTCTGTCTGGTATAGCTGTCTTCGCCTTGTCTCTCACCTTTCTTCTGCTAAAGTCTGGGGATTTAGATAAGACTATTTACAGACAACAGGTGCAGCCAGTCATTAGCATATTGGAGTTATATGAAAATGTCCAACCTGAAATAAAACAAAACAAGAAATGGTAGTATTTTCATTGTTAAAATTAAGAACTTAGTGCCTTTTTGTTGTTTATTTTTCTGAGACAGGGTTTCACTGTGTAGCCT